TATTGAGTGTTGACGGTGTTTTTTTCATGCAGATGAGCCGATGGCAGATGCTCTATGCAGGCATTCGGCCATTCGGGCATTCGAGCATTCGGGCTTCGGGCATTCGAGCATTCGGGCTTCGGGCATTCGGCAATCGACATTTCGGCGGCTCGCCAAACCACGACAGTCGCGGAACCGTAGCATCATATTACGTTAAAAATATTTCAATTTTTTACTCTTTCGATAGTATTTGACAGTATCTACTATCTAGCCGTGTTCCGATCACAGTATAAATTTAAATTATTCTGTGATATAACCACAGATTATATAGTCATGGGTCATATTACTCTATGGGTGTAACGCTTGCAGTACATGGAAAAATGTGGCTCTACCTATTTAGCCTTTGTTACACATATTATATTTATTGCATATTATTTCTATTTATAATTACAATAGTTTAGTACATTTATATTTTATACACACCTATTARCTCTTAGGTATTAGCATTTYAGTATTTAATGTATGCTACTTTAATGACATTTTAATGTTTATCCTCAAGTATTATATCACAACAAGAATGCGACAATATTCCAATATGGAAAACAAAAATTAACAAAAATAAATTCAAAGAAAAAGAAGTATGCTAAATTAGCTATTCCTATTACTTTAGTCGTAATAGCTTTTAAGTTTTAATTTACAATTATTTTCAGCAATACTTTAAAATTGAATCAATACACTGCATATTAAGTACTTAAAAAAATGTTAATTTCGGTTGAATATATAAGCAAAGATTATTAAAGAATTAATAGAAACTATAAGGATATATTATTTATTTTTTAAACAGTAGTACAGTACCTAATGAATAACGATGATCACTGATCACTGGACAGTCGTGGACACCATATTGGGCATATTGTTCTAATATTGTTCTATGCTGGACACTGAGGTATTAATATTTCTCAGAATGCATCATAGATGGCGTTAAAATCGCACTTAAACCAGAAGCCGTTACACTGTAGTTCCATTGATAACTATCTCGTTTCCAGTCCTGTTTATCTTAGTCCACATGTTACTATGTTAGTCCATGGTCCGTGTCAGTGTGTCACTACTCATACTCAGTAGTCAGTTCTCATTRGTCATTATTCACTAGTCAGTACGCGTGTATTTAATTATGGCCGGCAACACCGATTGGAATTCGATCGTGATGACGGCCGAAAAGCTGCAGACCAACGCCATCACCGATACGGGTATGCCTAGCGTCACCCGGAACATCCGACAGTTGTTGGACGCCGCCGAAAACCTGTGGACGAAAGTCGGCGTGCCGGGCGTGGAGGCCAAGGGCAATGTGTTCCTGTGCAGCCGCGGCGTGGACGCCCCGCAGGTGCCCAAGCAGTTGGAAAAGCTCAGCTCCGTTGGCTCGATGGACACCCTGGACCCGAAGCCGGACATGGACGTGGACAGCTTTGTGAAGAACGAGGTGCAGAACGCCATACTCAGCCTGATCGAGTCGGTGAAGAAGAGCAACGAAGACTTCATCGACAGGCGACAAAGCGAGGCCACTAGCAAATGTTGGAGGAACAAGAAGATCAATATCATCAACTCATTCCCTGGCTACGTGCCAAACTCATCGTCGAGCCCCGGTTCAAGTGTGATGCCGTCCATTGCCAAGCTCAATACCACCAACTTTGGCCTGAGCGCCCAGTTGGACCAGGTCGAACTCGCGTACGCCAAACACTTGTGTGAATACAATCAACAYGTGGAACAACACGGGGTTCAAACCGACATTTTGCAGTCTTTCACGACAGCGGCAGAAATTGCCCACGACGATCGCATTAACGAAATGTGGAAGATAGTCAAATGCATGAGTCAGATCGTGCCCGAATATGGTTCCAAGTATGCCAGGAGTTCTGCGGTCAACCAAAAAACTATGATCGCAAATKCCAGAACCTATCTCGAACAGAGGTATATCGTGTTCATGAAAGGCTATGTGAAGAGCCACATGTCCAAAGCAAAACTTGGCGGTATCCCGGGCACTTATCCACTTGTGCGAAGTTTTGTCAGTGTCTACATCAATCAGTACAACAACCCTGATAATCTATTTCATGACGGTGTTCCATTTTGGCCGCTGGTATATTATCTAAGTCGCTGTGGTGATTTAGAATCCGTTGTACGCATTTTAGAAAAAAATAATCAGGATACTACGTTACTAAATGCTTTTACAAACATAAGAAATAACCATAATTACATGAGCTTAAACAATCAAGGATTTACTACTTCAATGGCATGGGACTCCAATGATCCATTCAAAAAAGTGATTTATTCTTTAGTCTCTGCTATTGATGTGTCGAATAAACATTCAGATGTGATCAAGACTGCGGACGATTATCTGTGGTTGAAACTATGTCAAGTCAGAAATGATCAAGACAAGCTCACATATCCTGTACTCCAGTCTATGATCTATGATGAATACAAAGATCAATTCAGTGAAGTCCAGCCCATGTCTTATTTCCAATTGCTTTTCTTAACCGGTCAATTCGAATCGGCTATTCAATTTATTTTCCGT